ATGGACGCGGCAACCATCCGGAAGCCATGAAGACTAAAGAAGACAACAGCCGCGAAAGCCTGAAAGCCAAGATCTGTATAAGTATTTTGTTTTAAAATTGCAAATAATGATAAAAATGAAGTATAAAATCATTTTCTGTAAATTTGGTTTTTGTTACTAATAGAACGAAATTTATAAGAATTCGTGACCTATACAATGGATCATACCATCCTGACCTCGTTATACAGGGTGTATCAGACCACCCGTCCACCTCGATTTTTCCGAAAACGCGAGGTGACAGGAAGTTGGTGAGAAATGTTAAGTCCCAAATCCTATCCAAAGAATCGAATAAAGGTACTTTCGTTTTCCGGAACTGACCGGAAGTAGTGGTCACCGTGGTCAACTTTGAAATTTCAAATGAGAACATATGTAGTGTAGGGTGTCGTTGGATAGAGCTTGAAAAAGGAAACTTTTTTATTGGAACATAATCACAGTATCTGTAACCGTTGCGGAGAAACGACTGGAAAATTGAAAAGTGATGGTCGAAATAATAACAGCAAGTTTAGTAACAAGTTTTTTGACTTTGTACATGTTATTTGACAGTGATTCTACAAGCGTTCAAAATGTCTTCCATCTTGATTTAAACAAGAGCGACTTCTCTCTCTGATGTTATCCGTAGAACGAAGAACTTCTACGTTGCTCAGTGATTGGCATGCTTCTCGAATACGGTCTTTCATATCCTCTCTTGTCGTCGGACGTTGATGATAAACAAGATTTTTTACCCGTCCCCATAAAAAATAATCCATGGGTGTCAAATCAGGGGATCGGACCGGCCAAGCTACAGGACCTCCTCTGCCAATCCATCTTCCAGGAAAACGCCGATCCATAGCATTCCGAGCTACTAAAGAGTAATGGGCTGGACAGCCATCCTGTTGCATCCACATGAGTACACGTGTCGCTAACGGGACATCTTCCAAGAGCTCGTACAGCACATTATCCAAGAAATTAGCGTACATTTCTCCATTTAAAGCTTCATCAAAGAAATAGGGCCCAACAACTTGATGTCCAATGATGCCAGCCCAGGTATTTAAACTCCAGATATGCTGATTGTCAATTTCTCTCAACCAGTGTGGATTTTCTTGTGACCAATAATGTGCGTTATAAATGTTCATTTCTCCATTACTTTTAAACGTAGCCTCATTGGTCCAAAGAACTTGGCGGTGGAAGATCTGGTTCTGATTCAGAAACCAAGTGCAGAAATCTATACAATTTTGGAAGTCACGATCTCTAAGTTCTTGATGAAGATGAACGTGGTATGGATGGAAACGGTGTTCGTTTAAAATTCTCCACACAGTCATGTGGCTTATACCAGAATCGGCTGCAATACCCCTGGTAGAGACGTGAGAATTTCCAGCAACAGCAGCAAGAACATCAATTGATCTGTCGTCTCTCACAGGTTGCCTAATCTTAGCTTTACGGTTGTGAGTCGGTTGGACGTTTCCAAATGTGCGCACACGGGTTGCTAAACGCTTGAAAACTTTACGTGAGTGATGGGTGCGTTGCGGATATCTTTGGGCGTAAAGGCGTTCCGCTGCACTGTAATTTTGACATTCACCTAAGACCATTAGCATGTCAAACGCTTCTTCATTTGTAAACGACATGTTGATAGCACCAAATACAAGAAGAGACTGACTGATAGGACAATTGTAAGAGCAGATTGTAACACTCTGTCAAATATGTACATATGTACTGAGGTGAAAATAATGTAAATATTTACATATTGAATGCTAAACTTGCTGTTATTATTTCGACCATCACTTTTCAATTTTCCAGTCGTTTCTCCGCAACGGTTACAGATACTGTAATTATGTTCCAATAAAAAAAGTTTCCTTTTTCAAGCTCTATCCAACGACACCCTACACTACATATGTTCTCATTTGAAATTTCAAAGTTGACCACGGTGACCACTACTTCCGGTCAGTTCCGGAAAACGAAAGTACCTTTATTCGATTCTTTGGATAGGATTTGGGACTTAACATTTCTCACCAACTTCCTGTCACCTCGCGTTTTCGGAAAAATCGAGGTGGACGGGTGGTCTGATACACCCTGTATATTAGGGCAATGATGGTCTTAGGTCAGTATTCATACTCACAAGTAACCTTACCTTTGTGTTGTTTACTGATATTATTGAAACTTGGTATATTTGTAGAGAAATTAAAAATAGCTGTGATAGCGTGAGTTTAACTGCAACGAGTTAATTCCTTGTACTTATGAATACAAAGGGGTGTTATCATTGTGGATAGAAAAAAATTTACGTGTCTAATATGTTTAACTGCTCTACAAATATATCGAGTTTCAATAAAATCAGTGAGTAATACAAAGGTAAGGTTACTTGTCAGATCTTATATTCAGAACAGTCTTGAATTTATCTAAAGATGCTATATGGAAAATTTCATTGACTACGGAATACCTATAATAAAGATGATCTTAAGATCTTAAATATAAGATCTGACTATGAATACCGTCCTTAGTGTTAAAATTTGTATTTCTGAGTGACTATTTAATTTTTTGGATCGACTGTTTAGCATACTGTAACGCTGTTTTGATAAACTTTTTTCTAATTCATGAAATTCTTCACTTAATAAAGATTAATATGAAAAAATATATAATATATTGAAGATTTTACTTTATACAAAACGGTTATTTCGTAAGAATATAATTAAATACTATTGACTCACCAACTATAATTTGTTCAACCTTGCAGTTTTCAAACACCAGCTTTCCTTTTTGTCCCTTGCGACTAAATTTCTCATCGAGTGTGTTTGTTATAACTTTTTCCATCATTTTGTTAACTTTATTTCTATCGTCTTTGCCTCCCACAGATTTTAACAATTTTATCTATATAAAAACATATTTATAAATTATATGTACTTTTCAATCTTTGATTTTATTTTATCAAAATTTAAAACTTTATATCAAAAATTTAATCAATTACTAAATGTATGGTAACTCTATAACGCTTGTATACCGCCTAAGATACTAAAAAATTGATTTTTCAACAAGAAACCTGGTTAAACCTTATTGTGTTAAACATATAAAATAAAATTTTTTTTCTTTAATGAAAAACTATAATAATTACCATAGACTCCACATAGTTTTCTTTTGTTTCCAATTTTTTGCAAAAATTTGCCATATCATCTATACTGTTGAAAGGCAAAAGTTTCGCCCAGTTGACACAATCTTTGTTTTCAGGTTTTTGATTCTCTGCAGCTTCTTTTTCTCCAATACACTTTTTAAGTTCACGTATTTCTACAAATTGTTTATTCAACATATAAACTATTTCTTTCAAATAAGCTGCAAATAAATTTAAAGGAAAATTGTTTTGTTGATGAGAATTAGTAAATATAAAGATAGTTTATAAAATAGTCAATTACCCATGCTTAAGTCACTTGTTCCGTTGTCTGCTTCTTTCTATGTGTTGAATGGTTCTTTTAAATGCTGCATTAATTTTCCTGATCTTTAAATCTTCTGATTGCTTAGTGCGAATCTTTTGAGTTGCTGTTGCCTCTTCAAAATATTCTTTTTCTACACAAAATAATTAACGTTTGTAAAAAAAAACGTAGAAAATTTTTTGTTGTCTGTAGAATATTTTTTTTAGTGACTAAAATTACTGTTTTAATTGAAGAAGGGTACATCTCTATTCAGGACTATTTCATTCATTCTCTATTCAGGACACAGAAATTACTGATTATGAAAGATATAATCTTTATACAGACTTTACAACCAATGACATCTATATACATTCCTATGTTTTTGCTATAAAAGGGGGTGAGGGAGTGAAGCTGAAAGTTAAAAACAAAGATAGATGTATCTACTATTTTCTCATTTTAGTTTATATGACAGCAAATATGTCGACTCTTGACTGTTGTTATATTTCTAAGCTAGAGTGAGAAAGCAATAGACGCAAAACAGTTTTTTCACTCACACTTACGGTCTCACTCTACAGACAGAATGTTTGGTCTACGTATATACATTCATATGTATGTCGTTGTTTACAACGGTACAACGGAAAGTGTTAAGAATTTTGCTTAAACTTTAAGGAGATGTTAAGGCACATTTTGAAAAACGGTTACAACGGTATTGAGATATTTTTCGGTACAAATGAGTTAATGTATCAAAAACGTACTTAAACCGAGCAAATCTGTGTCTCTGTATTGAGAATGTAATGTAAACATATGTGCACTAATGCGAGTTTTATATACATTAATGCACCTGCGCGCACGTGCGCACGCACGCACGCACACACGCACGCACGCACGCACGCACACATATGTTTTTACAAGCATAAACGTTTGACTAGAAACTCATTTATGCATACATGTATACTATGGCATGTATACTATGACACAAATTAATCACCTGAATTTTCATCTAATAAAATAATATTTTCAGCAGTTTCAGCAATTTCTGGATTGATTCTGCCATGTACCGTGCAGCTCTGTTCATATATATTCTGTGGTTCTTTGGCTGAAATGGAGGTTTCCGTTGTCACAGTGTTAGGCCTATCCTTGAATTTTGGCGGATCAGGCAAAGATGAAGTTATATATTTGCTTTATCGATGGTTTTCTTCGGAATCCGCAGAATCTTCTCCATTGGAATCAAAAGAATTATGTCTATGAGCACGATCGTGCCTTGTTTTTTTATAATTTCCAGAATTTCCCATTAATTGATCTACATCTGAATAATCTTCAGCCAATTTCAATTTTTCTAATGCTTCTTGATAATTATCTGAAATATTTCGAATAAGTAAGAATTTTTCAAAGTCAAATTGTTTTTGATGTACAAAAAAATTCTATGAAAACAAAACAAGACAAAACAGAATGTGAAATAAAAAATATATAATTACTAGCTTGAGTATGAATTTTCAAGATATCATATGATAACCATTCTTGACTAGGCTTTTCCATCGTTGATTTTGCTTTATCAATGCGCAATTGATTTCTGTAATTGGGCCACCAACATGTTTTATTATTGTTTACCCACGTTCTTGGTACAACCGCCAGTCCATCAGAAAATTCAACAATTAGAAAATTTTCTTTTTTAGTAGATAACATTTTCTCATATTAACTGCTATTAATAAATTTATTAGCTGTGACCCACACTCGGAGGAGCTATTCACCAAAATCAGAAATATAATTCGGGATGAGCTCGCCATTTTCCGTGATGAATTCGCTCAGATGTATAGGGCAGACATCGAGAGAATCACCAATGAGATGCAGGAACTTCGGGACAGAATGACAGAACTGGAGGATAAAATCTCCTCTGTCACACCTCCTGAGAGCCGTGAAGACCTGATAGCTGAGATCGCAGAAAGAGAAAACAGGTCAAAAAATCTCATCTTCTTCAACCTTGAGGAAGGTTCAATCTCCTCCACTCATACAGATCCTGCAGCAGCTGATCTGTCCAAGGCAGAGGAGATAACGCGGTGTATATGCCCAAAAGATACTACACGTATCTATGTTCGGAGATTGGGCAAGCCTAAGCAGGACCATATAAGACCTCTCAGAGTAACATTTCCATCCAAGTCGGAAGCCTTGGACGTGCTTAAACGGAGGAAAGGATACTCAGGCCCGGTCATAATCAAACAGGATCTCACGGTGATGCAGAGGGAACATCTCACAGGATTGAGAAGTAAACTCGAATCTATAAGGAGTTCCGGTGATGTCGACTCGACAATTAAATACTTTAATGGAATACCGAAGATAGTCAAATCTTTTAATACCCGTTCAAAAAACGGAACTATCACCCTTTAGTTTACTATCAAAATGTGAGAGGTTTGAGAACGAAACTGACGGATTTGCGCAACTCAATTGCTTCTTTTGCATTAAACACGGATTTCATTATTTTAACCGAAACTTGGCTGAACTCGACCATACCAGACGCCGAACTTGGTCTAAATAATTTTAAAATTTTTCGTTGTGACAGAGATTATCATACAAGCAAATGTTCAAGGGGAGAGGGTGTCCTGATTGCCGTTCGTGATTGTTTTTACTGTCGTTCTGTTGATCTTGTGGCCCATGACATTGAACACCTTTTTGTAGAAGTCAGAATCGGTTTCGTTAATGTTATCATTGTTGCTATTTATATTCCCCCTAACTCCTCGCCTGACATTTACGAATCCCACTGTAATAGCATATTGGAAGTGTGGCGCTCTTTTCCAAACGCTAAAATAATCATTCTGGGTGATTTTAACTTGCCAAATGTTAACTGGGATGTAAATGGACAATGTGTCTTTGATGGCTCTCATTCAGGAAGGGCTAACGTTATAGCCGAATACTTTAACATATGTAATCTTCGGCAACACAACTTCATAAAAAATAATGGGGGCCATACACTGGATTTAATATTTTCATCCTGGGCTGACCTTCGTGTTTCTTCCGCCCATGAGTCTCTTGTTCCTTGTGACGCTTACCATCCTGCCCTTGAGTTCATGTTACCTTTTAAATCCCCTGTCCGTCCGGATACCAAGTCTTCAACTAAACTCTGCTTTGAGCGTGCAGATTACTATGCCATAAATAACTATCTTGGCCTTATAGACTGGGATCTAGCTACATCAGAAATGTCTGTCGATGAAGCGACCGAATTTCTTTACCATCACCTGGACTACTCCATTTCTAAATATGTCCCCTCTCATGTATATGTCAAATCATCCTACCCTACTTGGTTCTCAAAAGAACTTATTTCGGCTGTCAAGGCAAAGAAGTTGGCTCATAGAAAATACAAATGTACAAAAACGTTCGCTGACTACCTCGTCTTCTCTCATCTAAGGGCCGAATGCAAAACTCTGTCTTCCACCTGCTGGTCAAATTTTATTGATAAAACTGAATGCGCGTTGGCGGAAGACTCCAATCACTTTTGGAGATTTATAAAAAATGTCAAAAAGTCGGAGCCTCAGGCCTCTCATATTTTACACGAAGATCGGTTGCTTACTGACAATCTCTCTATTGCGAATTGCTTTGCAGATTATTTCGAGTCCGTCTACACTAGCAGTGAGACCGACAGCGCTAACCGGGTTGATTCTAACCTGAATCAACCCTTGGACCTTTTGTCTCTAGACATCACTATTAAAGAGGTTTACAACGAGATTGAAAACCTTTCGTCGAGATGCGCTGCTGGTGTGGATGACATTCCGCCAGTGTTTCTTAAATCCTGTATCTTTATATCTGCAAGAATTCTATGGCTTATTTTCAGTCGCTCAATGAAAGATGGCATTTTTCCTGTACGCTGGAAGAGATGTCTTGTTTCTCCTATTTTTAAGGGGGGTGATCGTCAACTGGTCTCTAACTACCGCCCTATCTGTAAACAGAGTATCATGCCAAAGATCTTTGAAGGCATCATTGCTAAAAAACTTAGCTCACTATGCAAAAACGTTATCATTGCTGAACAGCATGGATTCATGCCTGGTCGCTCTACAACGACCAACCTTATCAACTACTGTTACTATCTAACATCTGCTGTTGAAAATGGATCTCAAGTTGACTCTGTTTACACCGATTTCAGGAAGGCGTTTGACACCGTGGATCACATTATTTTAATTGAAAAACTTCGGGCTCTGGGATTCGAGGGCTCTCTTTTGCGCTGGATATTCAGCTTCCTCTCTAACAGGACTCAAGTTGTAAAATATTCTGACTGTCTATCTAGAAACTTCCTTGTCGCGTCCGGTGTGCCACAAGGCTCTCATCTTGGGCCACTCCTATTTATTCTATTTATAAATGACATTACTAATTATTTTAAATACTGCAATTTTTTATTATATGCTGACGACCTAAAATTATTTAAATGCATCGACTCTCCTACAGATTCACTTTTATTGCAGCAGGATCTTCTTGCACTTGAGTCTTGGTGCGAGAGAAATCGTCTACGGCTCAATGTCTCTAAATGTTATATTGTTCGTTGTACACGAAAGCGTGACCCATATCTTTTTAACTACATGCTTGACGGTTCACCCCTCACAGCGGTCGACACAATCCGTGATCTTGGTATTTTATTCTGTGATAATTTAATTTTTAACAAACATATAAAAACCATTGTTGCTGCTGCAAATAAAACTCTCGGATTTGTTCTCCGCTGGGGCAAATATTTTAAGAATGTATACACGTTGAAACTACTATATTGCGCACTGGTTCGTCCTAAGTTGGAGTACTGCTCTACCGTGTGGTCTCCTTATTATAATTGTCATCGCAACCTGATCGAGCGTGTACAACATAAATTTTTGCGTCTAGCCGCTTTTCAAATGGGCGTTCCAATGGCGATCACCTGCCACAATTACCACCCCATATCCAACTTAATAAACATACTCTCTCTAGAGAAAAGAAGGCAGTTATTTGATCTAACTTTTATTTATAAATTAATTAATCATCTTATCGACTGTCCAGATTTATTAAGTAGGATTAAATTAAACGTTCCACTAAGGAACCTGAGGCAATACACCATTTTCCATGCTGAGCCTCATAGAACTGAATATGGAATAAATTCATGTATCTCCAGGCTGGTGATTTCTGCGAACCATTATTCTTGTTCTATCAACTTTTTCGGCAACAATCTATCTACATTTAAGCGCAAGCTTCTCCATCGACTCACATAAAAAATTTTATAATGTAATTTTTATAACCTTATTTTAATCACAGATTCGTATATGTTAAGACGCCACAATTAATTCACTATGTTAATTCACTGATCTAATATGTTGTTTTATTTTAAATCATATTTTAATCCAACGAGATGATTTTGTTCTCTTTTGTATACTAAAGGGTTATCCCCGTCAATAAAGATTTATTTATTTATTTATTTAACTGAAATACTGAAAATAAAAACATCAACAATAATTACCAGAATATGTCGATCACGTTAATGTGCATAATATCTGATATTTACAATTATACATTTCCATTTGTGGACACGAAGATATTAAAATAACCGTGTTTTATCTTTTTTATTCATTATTCATATATATATATCTACATATGTGTGTATATATGCAACATAAATAAAGATAAAAACTAAAAATGAAAACAAAAACTTTTTGTATATACATACCTTAGTGTTCATTTGTTTTTGTTTTTACAGTTTCTTTTCCAAATAATTATATATTTTAATTGTGAGGTTTTAAAGAGTTTTAAACATGTGTGTGTGAAACTGTTTAACAAAAAAATGTTTAAAACAGTATCTACTGTTTCAAACAAGTTTTAATCAAAGTTTTAAACACATTGTTTAAAACATGCCAACCCTGCTAAAACTAGCGAGTTGATTACTTGAACTCGGCAATTTTTTATATGAGAGTAATTCTTATATGATATTTGTGAAATGTACCATCATATACGTACATATACATTGTGAGTAGAAGTTTTTCAAGATGTGATTGAGAAGTCAATAAAAGTTACAGCTATTATTGAACACATTAGATTTAATCTGTGCAAAAGGAGCTCTTGAATCAAAACCCATATGAAAATGTCCCTTATGATATTGTTAGCGATTCTCGTTAGGAGAGCTCGTTAGGAGAGCTCGCTGGACCGCTGCGGATGGACGCAGGGTTGAGAGGACTTTGCGGTGAGAGACTCAGGGAACGGATGCACGCGTGAGAGGGTGGAATATCACGTGATCGAACACTCTGGGCGTTTGCGTAAAATACCGTGTCACCGTTTAATAAATAAAAATGCTTACAGTTGAGAAGTCTAAGAGATAGCGGGACTGAGAAGTCTCTAATCACTTACACGGGTCGATTATATTAATCGATAGCCGGCCTCGTGAATGTCGATGCCCGTGAGCCGTGTTCACGCGACGCCGGCGTGCGATGCGTGGTGAGCTTGAGCTGCCGTTGATGCTGTAGCTAAATGTCCTGGATGAGTCGCACAACTAAGGGTTCACCTCGAGTTCGCACAGAGTCACTTCTCGGATGAGAAAAGTCCACGAGAGCACACTAAAAGTCTTAAGCACTACACGACACTTGTACGTTGTACGGTTGCCATGAGCCAAAAGCGCCGGTAACGAGCGTGAAGAAGCGCCGTCGCCTCGTGTCGCGATCGGGCATGCGCGCGCAGCGCTCCTGTGGCGCTGCACGATCTGACCCGGCTGATGCTGCCATCACGCCGGTGACGAACTGACCGAGATTCAGAAATGAATCTCGAACATTCCGCCCGCCATCAGCAACGTAGTTGATGATCCCTGTTCTTATGATGAGATTGGCAGGACGGCGAGCTTGACCACTGGTCGGATGAGAGTGGTAGTGGCTGTCTTCAGAGTCACCACCCGCACGAGACCATCCTTCCCAGGATGTAGAGCCGTGATCCGGGCTAACGGCCATTTGCATGGCGGTAGCCGCTCGTCGGTGATGAGCACCAATGACCCGACCTTGATTTCGTTGTTCCTGTGGTGCCACTTTGATATGGCCTGTTGACGTTGTAGGTAATGCGCTGACCATTGTCTCCAAAAATGTTGTGCCTTGTGCTGGATGAGCTGCCATCGTGAGAGTCTTGAGATCGCCAGGTCGGTGAGGGATAGTTCTGGTATTGTGGTGAGCGGGCTTCCTACGAGGAAGTGGCCTGGCGTGAGTGCTGAGATGTCGTCCGCGTCGTCACTCAATGGTTCGAGAGGCCGCGAGTTGAGGATTGAGTGAGCTCAATTTGAGTGAGCAATGTTGTGAGCTCCTCAAAGGTGAGCACGTTTTCTCCAATGGTTCGCCGTAGATGATATTTTATGGATTTTACGACGGCCTCCCATTTTCCTCCCATGTGAGGTGTCGCTGGGGGATTAAATTCCCATCGGGTGTTATCTTGCGAGAGCAGGTGAGAAACTCGCTGATGTTCTTGAGTGCTCTGGATAAACAGCCTTTTGAGAGCTGCATCCGCGCCGATGAAATTGGTGCCGCAGTCGAAGTGTAAGGTGTGAGCAATGCCGCGTCTGGATGAGAAGCGTCGATAGGCGGCAATGAATCCCTCCGTTGAGTAATCACTGACCGCCTCGAGGTGTACTGCTGAGGTTGAGAAGCAGACAAAAACGCAAATCCAGCCTTTAGTTGTTTTGGCACCTCTTCCCTTCCATGTTTTGACGGTGAGCGGCCCTGCGTAGTCCACACCTGTATGAGTAAACGGTCGTGCCTGCGTAACCCGAGAGAGAGGTAGTTGGCCCATCAATTGATGAGCACGGATCCCCCTCTGACGAGCACACGTGACACACCGCAGGATGTGAGACTTGACAGGAGCCCTCCCGCCGAGAATCCAGTATTGTTGTCGGATGTATGACAGTGTAAGCTGCGTGCCTCCATGTAGAGTCCGTTGATGAGCGTGAGCGATGATCAATGACGACAGCTGAGAGTGACGAGGCAGTATTACAGGATGTGTCGCGTCGAGTGAGAGAGCTGCGTGAGCGAGTCGTCCGCCGACGCGAATGACTCCTTGAGCATCGATGTACGCAGTTAATCTGTTGAATGCGTGCGCCTTTGCGGTGAGTCTGCCTGTAATGCCTTGAGCTCGTGCGAGAAGTACGTTGCTTGAGTTGCCTGAATCCAGAAGAGACTCGCTTTCTCCAAGATCTCTGGAGAGATGTGTCTGACAGGCAATGAGTCGTGGACTTTCCTCAACCGTGAGACGAATCTGAAACAGAGAGCTGTAATCCTCAATAGTTTAGTGAGGCTTGAGTACCTGTAGATGAGTTCCCATTGATATTCAGTCCTTGGCGTAACCGTCAATAGCGAAACGCCTGGGCGAGCTTCGGTTGCACTCAATTCTTCAGAGAGTGCAGGTTGCGACGGCCATGAGTCTGGGCTGAGTATCCATGGTGGTCCCGTCCACCAAAGTGCGTGGTTTTGAAGCTGAGCAGTCGTGAGGCCTCGTGATGCGCAATCAGCCGGATTAGAAGTTCCAGGTATGTATCTCCAGTGAGCAGCTGGAGTGAGTTCTTGAATTTGAGCCACCCTGTTCCTGACAAAATCTTCCAGCGTGACGCATGAGATCTGATCCACGAAAGTGTCACGAGAGAGTCCGTCCACATATGAGTCGCCGTTACGTCCGTGTTTAAAGTGGCTTTGACGTATTGCATGAGTCGAGAGAGCAGCAGAGCAGCCGTGAGTTCAAGTCACGGGATTGAGAGCCGCTTGAGAGGTGCTACCTTAGTTTTGGAGCACACAAGTGAGAACGTGGCGCCGTTTGAGTCGTGAACGGATATGTATATGACTGCAGCCATTGCCAATTGAGAAGCATCAGAGAATCCATGAAGTTCCACTTGCGAGTCGCTCCATGTATTGAGCCACCGAGGTATTGAGAGTCTGGCCAGACTTGTGAGTTCTTCTCTGATGGAGAGCCACCGGGTTGAGAGCTGGGATGGCAGTGGATCATCCCATTGGAGCTTGTGCAGCCACAGCTCCTGCAAGAGAATTTTGGCCTTGATCACGACGGGTGATGCAAAGCCAAGTGGATCGAATATCTGAGCCACTTCAGATAAGACGAGGCGTTTTGTGAGCCTGCCTTCCTTGCGTGAGCTTCGTGTTGAGAATGCAAAGGTATCTTCTTGAGGGAGCCATTTGAGTCCGAGTATCTTGGTTGCGCAATCGTCGAATGTGATTGGTAAGCCTTGGTCTTCGCTGTCGGTGACAGTCTTGAGTATGTCGAGATGAGTTGCATGCCATTTTGCTAGTGGGAAGCCGCCCGCCATGCAGAGGCCCTTTAGTTGATGTGCGACCTCCTGCAATTGTTGAATCGTATCTGCACCACCAAATATGTCATCGACATACCTGCCATGAGTGATGGATGGCACAGCCAGTGGTTATTTATGTCCTTCGTCCTCTGCTAGTTGTAACAGCGTCCTGACGGCCAAGAACGGTGCGGCCTTTGTCCCGTAGGTGACTGTTGTCAGGTGATATGGCACTTCATTGAGTTGATCGTCCATCCAGAGTATCCGTTGCAACTCCCAGTCATCCTTGTGAATTTTGATCTGCCTGTACATTTTGGTGATGTCCGTAGCGAAAATGTGACGGTGTCTTCGTATCCAGAGGAGAACATCTGAGATATTCAGATGCAACTTCGCTCCCGTATACATGAGGTCGTTAGCAGAGTAGCCCGATGTGGATGCGCTGGAGCCATTAAATACGACCCGCAGCTTTGTTGTTGTACTGTCAGGCTTGAGAACACCGTGATGCGACAGGTAGAAGTGCGAGCGACAACTGGAGATGGATGATGCCTTCGTCGTGTGGTTGAGTGTCTCGTAATCCATCATGAACTGTTGATAGAGCCGTTGATAATTCACATCCCTTGAGAATCGTCTGCGTAATCCCTTGAGGCACTGATGGGCAACGTGGTAAGAATCACCCAGAAGATCTACTGGTGATTTGAGTGGAATCCTGACGACGTACCTCCCTGATGAATCACGAGAGTGTGTAGCCTTGAAGTGCTCTTCGCACCTCTGCTCGTCAGGGGTGAATTGGTTGACATCGTGAGTAGGCACCTCCTCTTGAACCCAAAATTTTGTCAGTAACTCGTTGAGAGCATCCTCGTTGATTTGAGTAGAAGCATGGTGCGTTGATGTGCGTGTTGCTTCTCTATTGACTGGTCCAAGAACGAGCCATCCGAAAATGAAGAGTTGCGCTATCGGCATGAGTGGAGAATGCCGAATGATATTGGGCTTGATGATCTGCCCGTAAGCGTCTGCGCCGATGAGGATGTCAACTGGCCGCGGGATGAGAAAATCAGGATCGGCTAATGCCAAGTTCCTGAGATGCGGCCATTCTTCCGGTTCCGCCTCGAACGATGGTAAGATTGATGTAACTGTCCGGAGGACATGAGCTTGAATTGTGGCAGCTGCGTTGGAATGTGTCGAGCGTAACGTGAGTGACACGACTCCTCGTGTCCGAGTACACTCCTTGCCTGCAATTCCAGTGACGACAATACCTGAGTATTGACGAGGGATGTTGAGCTGCCGAATGAGATTCTCCGTGACGAAGGTGAGTTCGGATCCTGCGTCAATGAGCAGACGCGCTGAGTGATGCGTTGACGATGAGCTGACCAGTGCCAAGGCTGTGGCGAGTAGAGTCGAGCAGGATGAGCGGACGTGTGAGCTGGGCTCGACGACTGCACCGACTCTTCAATTAGCGGGAGTGGCCGATGACCCACCGGACTTCTGAGCTGGCGATGCGGTTGTCTGTGTGCCGTGCAGCATTGTATGGTGCCGCCCTGAGCAGGTCTTACAGCCTCGTTGAGACTTGCATGCGCGCACACTATGACGCCCCAGGCAATTGAAGCACAACCGCTTATTTATCGCCACCGTGTGCCGCTCTGATGATGAGAGTTCCCGGAATTTTCCGCACATAACTATGAAATGCTGCGCGCCGCAGCAGTCACACGGATAGGATGTGTCGCCCTGATGAGTAGACTGATGAGCAGCCGTCTTCTTCGGCGGTGAAGATGCTGAGCTGGGACCCGGATGAGCCGTCGTAGTCTCTATCCGCTCGAGCGCCCGTATTCGAGTCGTCAGAAACTCTTCTAGCCTCTCGAACGTGGGATAGTCACGTGTGGCGCCAACAGCGTTCTTCCACTGTTCGCGTGTCACGCGGTCCAGGAGTCGCGTGACGTGGTACACCACAGCGCAGTCCCCGAGCTTGTCCGTAACCTCGAGGGCCTCCAGTCCCTTGAGCGCCTCTTTGACTCGTCCCGAGACAAGTCGATCCAAGGACGCCGCCTTCCTTGGCACCTGGGTTGAGCTGGCGAAAATTTTATCAAGGCAGGCATGAATGAGCAGGCGCTTGTTTTCGTACCTGTCCTTGAGTAGCTCCCAGGACGGCGTGAGCGAATCTCCGGCCATTGAGAAACCTGCTATCAGCTGAACTGGCGCGCCTTCCACCGATGAACGGAGGTAATGAAGTCTCTCCACGTTCGTGAGTTGATCGTTGGAAATGATCAGGCTGGTAAAGAGATCTCTAAAAGTAGGCCACGCGGCATACTCCCCGGTGAACTTGGGGAGTGTGATGTCCGGCAAGCGTGAGAATGTCTGTCGAGTCTCGCCGGCCGATGAACTGGTCTGTGGTTGAGCGGCCTGAGCTGTCAATGCGTGGCGAAGCACGCCTATGACCCGTCGCGCCTGCATGTAGCACAGCGACTCTTCTTGGTGAGCATTCTCCGCGAAATACTCATGGTGAATGAGCGCCGATGGCCATGAGACCTCAAAGTAGGCGTGTTCTTTGATGAACGCCTTGTGCGTCTCCTCAATCAGCAGTTGGAACTGCGAGACCTCCTCGAGCGATGTCTGCGCCGGGACATCCGGCAGCGCCTCGGTGAGCTCCCTGAGCGTCGCGATCTGGCCCATCTGCGTCTGGACCTTCAGCGCGAGCTCCGTCGAAAGCCGGGCAGGAGACGCCGTCCTCCCCGACGTGCGGTCTCCCTGCGGCACGTCCAACACCGGGGTTTTCGGGCGGTCCGTCTTGCCCGTCTTTGTCTCGTCCGCCATGGTGAGAGAGCGAGAGAGATTTTAACGTCTCGCCGGCCGATGAGCTGTCACGTGAGAGGATCGTAAGATCGCGTGATCAACGAGTGGGATCGTGTACGTGCGCGCCACCGATCACGCGAAAGGGCCGTGAGATCACGTGATCACTGCGTGGTTGAGCTAATCCGTCCGAGAGCCCCGCCGCAATCCGGCTCGAAGGACCAAAAAATGTTAGCGATTCTCGTTAGGAGAGCTCGCTGGACCGCTGCGGATGGACGCAGGGTTGAGAGGACTTTGCGGTGAGAGACTCAGGGAACGGATGCACGCGTGAGAGGGTGGAATATCACGTGATCGAACACTCTGGGCGTTTGTGTAAAATACCGTGTCACTGTTTAATAAATAAAAATGCTTACAGTTGAGAAGTCTAAAAGATAGCGGGACTGAGAAGTCTCTAATCACTTGCACGGGTCGATTATATTAATCGATAGCCGGCCTCGTGAATGTCGATGCCCGTGAGCCGTGTCCACGCGACGCCGGCGTGCGATGCGTGGTGAGCTTGAGCTGCCGTTGATGCTGTAGCTAAATGTCCTGGATGAGTCGCACAACTAAGGGGTGCATTCGTTTATGCAGTTCTTAGCGCATCCACTGCGTCTCTCATCTGCTAATCACGTGACGTAATTTACCGAACGGACAACTGCGTGAACGACTGCTCGGACGTTTGACTCCTCCCCTTTGTTTAGAGGTTAGGTGTTAATTATTTAAATTTGGAGAAAATATTATGACGACCTTAATTATTTAAATTATATCTTTAAACACATTTTATTAAAGAAAAATTCTCCTTTCAGAAATCATAATGATTCATGCAATAGACTTGATGAACAGTAGCTCATCAGATTCCGATTTGTGGTCAGATAGCTCTGATGAAGAGCTACTGTTATTAGATGATACGGTATTGTTTATTTCATTTATTAATTCAGATAACATATAAAAAATTTTAAATAAATAATATATAAGAAGAAAAATAATAGAGCTATAAGTGATCCACAAAGGATACTTATAAGCATATATATATTCTAAGATTAATAATAAAGATCGTGACAAACATTTCGACTCATAATCCAGACTTATTTAAGAATTTCCAATTTTCAGTTTTAAGCTTATGTTACGTCAAAACCTCTTGGAAAGTGGAGATATGGGAAATAGAGATTAACGGGAGCCGAAGGATAGGGGTTCCAGTCGAGGAGGTGTGGGATGACGTAACTAGCAATTTAAAGGTCTCGCTAACACGCTTGGAGGGGCGTGGAAGCGAGCCGAACGCACTTTCTTAAGGCTCTAAAAAGGCCAGTGTCCGTGAGGACACTATGACGCTTTTCGAGAGCGGTGCGATCGTAGGTCCTATTTCGGGTCAAGGAAATTAATCCCTATTACCCAGGGACGGACCTTGTGCACTCTCAAAAGGGGGAACGAAGGGGGGTGAGGTCTTTAGAAATGAATTAAAATTGAAGGAGATAAGTTTAACATAATGTATTTAAAAATAGTCTATATCTAGACATTACATTTAGGTGAAAGGATAAATTTGACTAAACATTTGAATTATAGCAATAAGAAAAAGGATAATTGTGGCTAAACATTAGGACTAAAATATCGCTTTTAACTAATCGTTACATTTATGGATGAAATATAAATAGATGCTTGTATATACATATCGTTGATGTGGGTGTGTGTGTGTGTCATGTGGGAGAGGGATTTATGAATGTTCTTTAATAATAACGGAGGGGGGAGGGAGAAGGTGGCGGAAGAGCCAGATGGGGACGGGCCTGGGATATC